AGTGTTTTCAGCCCATTTAGAATTAGTATTTTACTATTCCAAGTGGAATAGTAGTAGTAGTAGTGCAGAACGCTTACCAACAAACAGTTCCCTTCATCCTCTCTTTATGTTTTAGTAGTCATATATATTATGTTTATGTATGTTGAAACTCCACCAGACAATGTTACCATTTTTACTTTCAATGACAATCCATATCTTGTCAGATTTGTATCTTTATATCCTTATAGAAACAGAATTTAAGAGAAGAAAAATAAACTAACACATTTACTTAGACATTTATCATTTCTGTTGCTTTTTTTATGTCTGATGTTCAAGATCTCCCTCAGTAGAATTTGCCTTCCATCTGAAAATTTTTCTTTAGCACTTCTATCAGAGCAAGTCTGCAAGTAATTAATTCTCTTAGTTTTCTTTTATCTAAGAATGTCTTCGTTTCAGCTTCATTTCTGAAGGAAAGTAATGCTGGAAGGGAACTTTGAAACAATCTAACTCAAAGGATTCATGTACATGTGAGCAAAATGACGCCCTGAGACATTAGCTAATTTGTCTCTTGTCACCAAACTAGATAATGACAGAACCAGGACCAGTTTAAGCTCCCTAACAACTAGTCCAGTGCTGTTCCTACACAATACCTTGGTTTGCCATCTCGATTATTTTGTTTATACTGGGAATAAAGATGTGAAAAAAGAGCTTGACTATTAGATGAGTAATAGGGGAAAAAATGTGAAACTATCATTGTTCAGATTCTAAAAGGACGTTAAAGATCATTCACTTCAGGGACCAGCAGATGGTATAATGGTTACATCGCTGGATTTCCACCTAGTTGACCATGGTTCGAGTCCTAGACCTGGCGGCTTAAAACTCACGACAGGCAATTGTACGTGTGTGCCCAAAATCCTGAAAAGAGAATGGAGGAGAATGACCGCCCCTCCCCCAGAGAGTGAGTGATTGCTCGCTTTCTGTCTATCTCTCTCTGTCTCTCCAGCCAGTGCTCATGACCTACACAAAGATCTCAAAAAAAAAAAAAAAAAACTTCACTTCAGTGTTTGATATTTCAAATGAAGAAACAGAGGTCCAGAAGAGGTCATTCAGCTTCCCAAGGGAGCAGAGTCATGACTTTATGTAGCTTGAGATCTCATTATATACCCATCAGTAAAGAACAGACACTGGAGGTATTGGTTTGTGTCCCCCAGTGGTGGTGATGGGTTATGTTGGGCCAAATACACTCTCTCTCTCTAGCCCCCTGTGACCTTATGACAGGTTGGCTGGCCAATTCTAGATGGTGGATCCTAATAGGACCTTTTGGAATCACATCTAGAACTGTTCTCATTAGCATTATCCTCTCAACCAGTGATTCTCAAACTTCAGTGTGTGTCAGGTGCATATAAACTGATAAGAATCAGCTTTTAGAAAGTGCATATCCTTCAAGTCAGCCCCTTAGCACAGCAGTTAAGTACTACATAAGAAGCCAGATCCCACATGGTCAATCAATGTTCAAATCCCAGTCCCCGAAACTTGAAAAAGCATATTGGGCCCATGTTTGTGCTTATGTCCCAAATCCCACCAGGATGGAGAGATGAAAGAGAAGGGAATGCAGTGTGACTATACCCCATTGGTGGGCAGGTACTCTCTCTTTCTGTCTCTTTATCTCTCTCTGGAGAGCACATGTACCCTCTACCTTCTGGCAATTAAAAATTAAAAAATAAACCTCTGAGGTACTCAGATATCAATATTTAGCATAGTTATTTCCTTATGCGTCTTTTTAATTTTTTTTTAATTTTCTAGAGGGCATGTACACTCGTCAGGGAGAGAGAGAAAATGAAAAAGCACCCCTATGGGGGTCAGTCACACTGCAATCCCTTCTCTATCCTCCTTTTGGGATTTTACGGACACACACGTACCCAACACATTTTCAAGCTGCCAGGTCCAGGACTCAGGTGTCACAGTTGGCCGTGTGAGATCCAGCTGCCTTCACCACGCCATTGACTGGCCCTCCTTGTATGTTTTTTATCTATTGTTCTTTCATTAGATCCACTGAGAGTCCATTAGGTGTTCTAACTAAATGTAATGTGTAACACTGATATGGGGCTAGCTTTTATAAACCAACATTTTAATTTTTTTTCACCTTTTTTTATTAAATACTCTTCCAAACCACTTCCCACCTCCATAAATGAGTACACATAGGTAGATCCTCCAACATCATGTATTCTACAGGAATTTGTACACCTTGCTGTTTATGAGATCCTGTGAAGGCAGGAAAAGGGAAGAAAAAGCACATTAGTCTTGTACCCATAGAGTTAGTTTCTTGTGAAAAAGAAAAAAAAAAAAATCAGCACACAAACCAGAAACAACTAATTGTGTTTTAAGCAACATGTGAACATGTACAAGATAAAAATAGAGCCTAACCTTCACAGATTGGGGAACTCTTATGTTTCAATGTTGATTCTGCTGTTTTCATGACTTAATTCTGGAGAGCTTGATATTTAGCTAGACTGAAAGAAAACACAAGTGCCCTTTGCATTGGCTATGCTTAATGCGTGCAGTGACACAGATCCCTAATCTGCTCAGTGGACTGCCTCTTATATTCTCTTAATTGGCTCACGGGTATAGACAGGTCTTGTCTTTCTAATGATCATAAAAGATACTTGGCAGGAAGGAACCGTGTCATCTATCTCCTCCGTGTCTCCTGCAGGATATAAAACTATGTCGTTTTATTATAGCCAATAGTTAAGCACCTACTGTTCCCTGGGCCCTATGTGAGATTCTGCAGTTGTGGGGCGGTGGGGGGGAGGGGGGGATGTGTGTGTGTGTAATTTTTCCACCCTAGATCAGCAAACATTTTTTGAGCATTTTCCAAATGACAGGCTCCGTCTTTAGAGATCTGTGGACAAAGACAAGGGATGTTCTTCCTCTGTCCTCGCAAGGTGGTGCTCCTGTGAGGAGGCAGTTTGTAAAGGCTACCTTACAAAGTACCACAAACTGGATGGCTTAAACAACAGAAACGGATTGTCTCACATGATTTCTTCTGAGGCCTACGAGAAAGAAACCTGCAGCATGCCTGTCACCTAGTTCCTGGTGGCCTGCTGGCAATCCTTGGGGCACTTTGGCTTGTGGAAACATTTCCCTGATATCTGTCTTCATCCTCACATAATGCTCTCCCTGTGGGTGTGTCTCTGTGACTCTGGGTGTATTGGGACCACAATGTCATGCTCCTGAAGATGGGCCTTTGCTGGTTGCTCTCTTTTCCACACTTTTCCATTTTTGTCTTACCCATAAACAGTCCCTATCTAACCTAGTGGACCACAAGAACCAAGCAGTGATCCTAATTCTAGCAAACAAGTTTTTCACACTTAGCTGGCATGGGCTAGGAGGCTAGTCTAAGCAGTTTATAGACTTCAATTCATTTAAGCCCTATAATAGCACTAGGGAGGAGTTTCTGTTATTATCTTCTTTTACAGATATGGGGAACGGCAAAGGCCAGAAGACACCTTCCAGGGAACCACAAGGAAGAGAAATCCCATCTGAGCCCCAAATTAAAGGATATCTAGAGTTCCTGAGTCCAGAAAGGGAAGGGAAGTGGTGAAAGAACAGAATTGGCCTCAGCAGGTGGCATAGCCTCAAGATGCTGGACTCCCACATGGTTGACCAAGGTTTGAGTTCCAGACCCAGTGTCTTGAAACTCAGGCAAGGTGTATGTAATGCATATCCAAAATCCTGAAAGAAGGATGAAGGAGAAGGGACTGTGGCGTGGCCATCCCTCCCTGTGGGAGGAGTGTGTGCTCCCTGTGTGAGGAGTGTGTGTGTGTGTGTGTGTGTGTGTGTGTGTGTGAGAGAGAGAGAGAGAGAGAGAGAGAGAGAGAGGTGATTTCTCACTTTCTCTCTCTCGGAATCTCTCTTTCAGGCAAGCGCTGGTGTCCTACAGCAAAAATCTCTCTCAAAAAAAAAAAAAAAGGGCGGGATTAACATAGGAGAAGGGCTGCTGCCTTTGCAAGCAGTTCCTGGGGTAAGCGGGCCCGTTCCTGCAGGATCCAGGATCGGCAGGGTGGAGCCGCCTCCCTAATCAGACTCACACTTGCCTGTGCAACCAGGTCATTAAATAGAGGAGCCAGGAGTTCAGGGCTCCCTCCCTCTTCCTCTAAAGGAAAACCGGGTGGGGAAGTATAAATTACCTCATAGGATACCAAGGGACAGCCTAAATGTGTCCTCCAGTGATTCATTCGGGTGTACTGCGTTCACAAGCTTAACTGAAAAGTTCGGAGTGGGGTCACGAGGGGCCCCTCCCTCCTTTAGTGCAAGAAACATTTCCTCTTTTTAAAGCACAGACAGAATTGGAACTAAACTCCATCCAAACAGGAAATCACCAAGATTCTAGGTAAAACCGGTTCTTTATTTTTAAAGGTGAAGCTTTTTCTTTCACCCGTGTGGATTTTTTCTGAGCACCTACTATGTGCCGTGCACATGACGTATAGTTGTTTAGTATCTGCTGTGTGCCCTGCGCTCTGTGGAACGACGCACAGAGAGAAAAGATACACCCACGCATGCACACATCTGGCAAAGTTTACAGGAGAAAGGCTTTTAGGAGGATATAGTGTCTTTTGTTTTATTGTTTCTTTATTTTCAAAAAAATAAAAGTGAAAATAAAAATGAATAAATAAACTTCCGCCCCTCTGGCTTGAGTCTCCCAAACTGCGAGACTGAGACCTGAGCAGGGCAAGAGGGAAGCCTGGGGCGAGGGAGCCGGGGGCGGTGGG